AGGGTTTCCAATAATTGGGAAAAGAGGGGAGGGAGATTTTCCCAGTCCTGAAGAGTTTTCTTCACAAGGCCAATGTGGTCCTGATCATAAGGTGGGATCACCAAGGTAGCAATGTCAATGGGATTCTAGAAACGTTTTGTTGTATGTCAACCCATTGTTCCATAGTGCCATGGTGGGTCAGTTGACCTTATATGTCTTAAATAAATTGCGTGGGATATTGATTTCAAGTATCTGATGGTAGATTCAGGCAATTAAAAACAAAGTTTATATTTAAGGTGGCGAATGGTATTATCTGAAAGGGAGATATTAAGGGATTCTGATTTTTGATAGTTGACCGAGAAATTAGACAGGGAACCATACCGAGAATTCAGGTATGGTAGAGAAATGGTTGGATTAGTAAAATAAAACAGCAACTCATTTGCATATGCAGCAACATAAAAATGGGTAAAGGGTGAGAAAAAAATATGGGGGAAAAGAGGACAGCCTTGCCTGGTGCCATTTGTTATGTTAAATGGAGGGGAAAGCATATCATTTACCTTGATTTATTTACCTTGATTTGGGCCTTCTGGTTCCAATAAATTGTTCTGATCCAGGCCATCATTCTGTCTCCAAGGCCTATACTTTTAAGAGTTAAGTCCACGAACATGTTTGCCTTCCTTAGTCCATTAATGTGTTTACCCTCCTTAGTCCACGAACGTGTTTGCCCTCCTTAGTCCATTAACGTGTTTGCCCTCCTTAGTCCATTAACGTGTTTGCCCTCCTTAGTTCATTAACGTGTTTGCCCTCCTTAGCCCATTAACGTGTTTGCCCTCCTTAGTCCATTAACGTGTTTGCCCTCCTTAGTCCACAAACGTGTTTGCCCTCCTTAGTCCATTAACGTCTTTGCTCTCCTTAGTCCAGGAACGTGTTTGCCCCCCTTAGTCCATGAAGGTGTTTGCCCTCCTTAGTCAGTGAATGTGTTTGCCCTCCTTAGTCAGTGAATGTGTTTGCCCTCCTTAGTCAGTGAATGTGTTTGCCCTCCTTATTCAGTGAATGTGTTTTTTGCCTGAATGTGTTTGCCCTCCTTATTCCATGAATGTGTTTGCCCTTCTTAGGAATTTTGGTAATATGATCTGTTAAGGATTCTTATGATAATTCCAAGGAATTTCTTATCACAATAAAGACTCTCAGAAAATGTGGGGTAAGTATTGAAGTAAAGGATTCTTAGTAGGAAAGGGTAGGGCCACCAGAACTTTGTTTTATGCACATGCACAGGGAAACTCTGTCCTGAACCCCAGCAGAGCCCCTCTAAACTAAACTACAAACTGAAAACACCATTTAATTCATTTTTAATATTCAAAGCAAACTCAGCCATCCATCTATGGCTCTATGTTTTTATTTTGTATTTCAATGGTTTTTATTAACTTTTGTAAACAATTTAACAAGAAGGAGTAGAGCAAAAGACACACCCACACAGGGGCTATCAATGGTACATAAAAAATAAAGAGATCAGCATTGTAACTCCAACAATGCAAAAGGCGCGCACATGTAGGGACTATCAATGGCACATAAAATACAAAAACAGTGATATAACACCAACAAAAATTTCCAGCCAAAGGCAAATATCTATCGCCTCATGTAATCAAAGAAAAAAAAGAAAGGAAGAAAGAGTAAAGAAGGAAGTCGAAAACAAAACCAGAAGCAGGGATTCGGGAATACATTTACCATACAGCATCATAAACCCGACTAGCCGGAGGGAGCGTTGGAAAAGCATATGTCACGGCTCCCATATTTCAAAAATTTTCATTGGGAGTCGTTACGGATACTCGTCAATGCTTTATCTTGTTGGGAAATCACCCCATAGAATTTCTTTCGCAGTCACCTTGAGATGATTCATGTAGCATTTACATCTTGCAGTTCATCCACCCTTAGCTCAGACATGCAGGCAGGAGGGTGTGTTTAGCCCCTCCTCCCATTTTCCAGATGAAAGAAAAAAATGCTTATGAAGACTCCTGGGATGTGGTTCTGCTTTAAGTTCCTCTTTAACAAAGGTCCAAATCCTGTGAGTCTTCATACAGTCATGGCCGAAATTGTTGGCACCCTTGATATTTTTCCTGAAAATCAAGTATTTCACACAAAAAAGGTATTGCATTAACACATGTTTTGCTATACACATGTTTATTCCCTTTGTATGTATTGGAACAAATATAAAACAGAGGCAGAAAAGCAAATATGACATAATGTCACACACAAAACCCCAAAAATGGGCTGGACAAAAGTATTGGCACCCTTAACTTAATATTTGGTTGCACACCCTTTGGAAAACATAACTGAAATCAGTCGCTTCCTATAACCATCAATAAGCTTCTGACACCTCTCACCCGGAATTTTGGACCACTCTTCCTTTGCAAACAGCTCCAGGTCTCTCTTATTGGAAGGACACCTTTTCCCAACAGCAATTTTAAGATCTCTCCACAGGTGTTCAATGGGATTTAGATCTGGGCTCATTGCTGGCCACTTCAGAACTCTCCAGCGCTTCTTTGCCATCCATTTCTGAGTGCTTTTTGACGTATGTTTGGGGTCATTGTCCTGCTGGAAGACCCAGGATCTTGGACGCAAACCCAGCTTTCTGACACTGGGCCCTACAGTGCGACCCAAAATCCTTTGGTAATCCTCAGATTTCATGATGCCTTGCACACAGTCAAGGCACCCAGTGCCAGAGGCAGCAAAACAACCCCAAAACATCATTGAACCTCCACCATATTTTACCGTAGGTACTGTGTTTTGTTCTTTGTAGGCCTCATTCCGTTTTCGGTAAACAGTAGAATGATGTGCTTTACCGAAAAGCTCTATCTTGGTCTCATCTGTCCACAAGACGTTTTCCCAGAAGGCTTTTGGCTTACTCAAGTACATTTTGGCAAACTGTAGTCTTGCTTCTTTATGTCTCTGTGTCAGCAGTGGGGTCCTCCTGGGTCTCCTGCCATAGCGTTTCATTTCATTTAAATGTCGACGGATAGTTCGCGCTGACACTGATGCTCCCTGAGCCTGCAGGACAGCTTGAATGTCTTTGGAACATGTTTGGGGCTGCTTATCCACCATCCGGACTATTCTGCGTTGCAATCTTTCATCAATTTTCCTCATCCGTCCACGACCAGGGAGATTAGCTACAGTGCCATGGGTTGCAAACTTCTTGATAATGTTGCGCACTGTGGACAAAGGCAAATCTAGTTCTCTGGAGATGGACTTGTAACCTTGAGATTGTTGATATTTTGCCACAATTTTGGTTCTCAGGTCCTCAGACAGTTCTCGTCTCCTCTTTCTGTTGTCCATGCTTAGTGTGGCACAGACAGACACACAATGCAAAGGTTAAGTGAACGTCTCTCCTTTTTATCTGCTTTCAGGTGTGATTTCTATATTGTCCACACCTGTTACTTGCCCAGGTGAGTTTACAGGAGCATCACATGCTTGTAACATTCTTATTTATCCGCAGTTGTGAAAGGGTGCCAATACTTTTGTCCAGCCCATTTTTGGAGGTTTGTGTGACATTATGTCGAATTTGCTTTCTTTCCTCCCTTTTTTTGTTTTGTCCCAATACACACAAAGGGAAATAAACATGTGTATAGCAAAACATGTGTTAATGCAATACGTTTCGTGAGAAATACATGATTTCCTGGAGAAATATCAAGGGTGCCAACAATTTCGGCCATGACTGTACTGTTTACTCACTGTAGTAAGGCCCCACTTCAGGCTGGCGTTGTCACCCCAGGGTAGGACTACAGATCACCTCCTCCTCTCCTCTTCTCTAGAACATAAGGGGGAGGCATTCTGCAGTTCTGGGAGGAGGACTAAGAACAGTGCTCACTGATAACAGTCAGTACAGGCAGAGAATACAGATCACAAGATTTTTGGTAGGAACAAAAGATACTTATTTGCATTTATGGAATAGATATAACAAAAATGCATAAAAAGCGGTTGTAAAGGCTCAAGTTTTTTTTACCGTCATGTATTCTATGCGTAAAGGTAAAAAACCTTCTGTGTGCAGCAGTGCCCCCTCAATACTTACCTGAGCGCCATCGCGATCCATCGATGTGCACAACAGCCTCAGCTGTCCCGGGTCTCTGCCTGAGACAGCAAATGGGAGCCATTGGCTCCTGCTGCTGTCAAACACAGCCATCCAGCCAATGAGGAGAGAGAGGGGGTGGGGCCAATCACACAGAATGGACACATGGAGCAGCAGCTTGGGAACATGCCTGCTAGGGTGCACCCGACAGAGAGGAGGAGCCAGGAGCGCTGGCAGGGGACCCTGGAAGAGGCAGATCTGCCCTGCTCTGTGCAAAATCACTGCACACAGTATATATGTATAGGCATGTTTGTTATTTCCCCCCCCAAAAAAGTGAAACTTTAGTATCTTTTCAATGTTGTATTACAGAGACAAAAAAGGACATAAGAACAGTTCATTGGTTGGCCTTAAAAACACTTTGGGGGAGATTTACTAAAACTGGAGCACTCAGAATCTTCTTCATGGTAGCCAATCATCTTCTGACTTCAGCTTGTTAATTAAAGTGTTACTAAACCCACAACAGTAAAATCAGTCTGTATATGCAGTAAAGCATACTTGTTATACTCACTGTGGAACCTAAGGAGTTAATCCTCTGCATTGTGTAAAAAGGATGTTTGACCCTGTCATCTCTGATCTTCCCCTTCTCCTACTGTCCCCAATACATCTGCTGATAGAACAGGGCCTTGGGGGCAAGCTGCACATGCTCACTTTGTTGTGTATTGCTGCTAGAGAGTTTTATTTTTCTTGGGAGAGTGCATGTGATCAGCACAGCGCTGTCCAGACAGAGGTCAGGGGTTATGCAGCCTCATAGGAGAGAATGAAAACGCCTCCTACAAGCTTTAACTAGTGCTCTGCTGGACACTGATAGACCTCGCAAGACTGCTAAATACTGTTGATGAGAAAATTTATTTAGCAGTTTATATTTACAAAAGTAATTGCATTTCCATGTTGTGTGTACTGTGGGAGACCAGATATAGTGAATGCAGGGTCCGGGGAGACCAGATATAGTGATGCAGGGTCCGGGGAGACCAGATATAGTGAATGCAGGGTCCGGGGAGACCAGATATAGTAAATGCAGGGTCCGGGGAGACCAGATATAGTGAATGCAGGGTCCGGGGAGACCAGATATAGTGAATGCAGGGTCCGGGGAGACCAGATATAGTGAATGCAGGGTCCTGGGTTTAGAAACACTAAGCTTTGACACTGACCCTAGGTTCACATCTGTGCGGGTGGTGCCGCTGCGGATCCGCACAAAAATATGTGCAGCTGCAGCAGCACCCGCACAGAGAATTGCGGACCCGCGGGCGGGTGCCATTAGTTCTAATGACACGCCGCCCACACTGGAAAACGCACCTATACTGGGAACCGAGGTTCCCGTGAGGGCTGCGTTTTCCAAAGAAGTGCAGGGACTTCTTTCCTGCGTGTCACGGGCACGGGACTCCATTCAAATGAATGGACTCTTGTGCCCATGCAAAATGCGGCCCGCGCGGCCGCAGAGATGTGAACCGGGTCGGCCGCAGAGATGTGAACCGGGGGTGAAACATGGAAGCTGATTGGTTTCGGTGCAGAGCTGCGCCAGATTTTGCACTCTCCAGTTTTTACCCCATTGTCTTTTAATTTTATTAGAACAATAGAATAGCACTAATGGGATTTTTTACCTTTTCAATAAATAGAATACAAGAATTTTGGCATTGTCACTGGGATGGGCCCCTGAATTTCTGATGTTATGAACACTTTTTTTGTATGTTCCCAGCTCTGCCCACAAGCTACTTTCCCCACGTTATAAATTCTAATCCACTAATTGTTAATTAGGATAATGAAACCTTTTCCTCACATACAGGTCTTGGATAATATTACCAGCTTGATTTGTTAGTCTTTTTATGATAAAAAGTCATTTTCACAAAACAAGAAGCATCTGTGTAGTCGGACACCGCATGAATTACACAAATAAAGCAAATTTTTGAGTGGCTGCAAAGTATTCTCAGCTATGTAAATAGCCTCGAGGAGAAATATTCCCGATTAATTTCAGCACTAACCTCAAATCACAGAACAAACATGAAACCTCTGCATATTCATGATATAGAACAGGATCCTTCTAAAGGCAACATATAGTGGTTTTGTACATATTTTATCTTTTTTTTTTTTTTTTTTACTATGTTCCGAACTACAAAATAACATTTTTCCTGTTTTTTTCTCAGGTAATGGAATGAAATACATATAAGGTTGCTGTATTATATGTCAAAAGGATTGCTATTTCTACCCTTCCAGTTTGGAGATGTACACAGCCCGGCCCTGTCTGGTATAGGAGGAGACCTGATTTTTCTTACAGGTCGTGTCCCTTCGCCAACCCATGACTGGACAATTAAAGGAGAAGAAACAGACCCATTAGGTCATTTCACTTTGCTCTCTTCTCCTATCAGCATGTTCCTTGTTAGCATCCTTGCACTGCAGCAAAGCTGATTCACTCACTGTGCTGCTCCCCCCTTCCAGGTCTAAGCTCTGCTGTACAGGGACTACCAGCAACTAATTCTAAGTGAAATCCAGGTACTCATACTTCATCCACTTAAATAAATAATAAATACTGTAAACTACAAATAAATAACTATAAATAAAAGTAATTGATAACAAACTGTAACCGCTTGCTAGTCGCCGTATAGCAGAAATACTGCTGCAGGGAGGCAGGGCTGTGCAAAATCACGTAGATCCAGGTAGGGGGTCCTACCCGCGCTGCTATTGGCGGCAGGGGCGGACTGACCATTTGGAAACTCGGGCATTGCCCGAGGGCCCGGGGTCAGTAGGGGGCCCCATGAGATGTATCTGGTACCTTTTTCATAGGCTTTTTTGAGTTTGGGCAAGGACACAGGGGCCCCATAATCCCCTATTGCCCGGGGGCCCCATGAGTTGTCAGTCCGCCTCATCTGTCGATCACTGGGTCCCAGCTGGTGATTCCCTGCCGGCACCCTGCTATCGCTGAGTATTTCTGTAAACAATACAGATCTCTCCCCTGTCAGATCCTGCACACTGCTTTGTATTGCTCTGCATAGCAGAGCAATACAAACAATGTGCTTACACAGTAAAGCACACACACAGAGCACACGGTTAACCCTTTGATGGCCTAAGATATTAACCCCTTCCTGCCCAGTGCCATTAGTACAGTGTCAGTGCTTTTTATTAGCACTGATCACTGTATTGGTGTCACTGGGGATGTCAGTGACAGTCAGTTCCCCCCCAGTGTCAGAATGCCTGCCGCAGTCCCGCAGTTCCAATATAAGTCGCTGATCGCCACCATTACTAGTATATAAAAAAAATGAATTCCAGTATCTATACTGCCATTTGTAGACGCTATAACTTTCATGTAAACCAATTAATTTATACGTATTGTGATTTTTTTTAGCAGAATACATTTTGGCCTAAAGTTATGACGAATTTCGATTTTTTTACATTTTTTTACTGGACGTGTTTAATAGCAAAAGACAAAAACAATTTTTTTCTCAAAATTGTCTTTTTTTGTTTATAGCGCAAAAAATAAAGTGAGGCAATCAAATATCACCGAAATAAAGCTCTATTTGCGGGAAAAAAGGACACAGATTTAATTTGGGTGCAGCGTTGCAGCGCCGTATCGCAAAAAATGGGTAAATTCTCTGGACGGCAAGTGGTTAATTAAAAACATGTAAGTAATGTAAATAAATAAATACAGTTAACAATATATTATGAATAGAGCTGCATTAATTTTTGTCCTTTACATCTGCTTGGATATCATTTTTAACATTTAAAAACACTCATTGTTTAAAAGGCAGAAAAGTGCGGTTCTATTTAGGTAGGCATGTGTGGTTCGTTTTGTTCCAAATTGAAATTCAGACAAAATTTTCATTATTCAGAGATTCTAATATATCCGAATTTCTGAATTCCAATGGAATGAATTTAAACAAATCTAAAAAAAAAACCAAAATTTTTGTCTAAATTCTAATCGAATTCAAATTGAGTTAGAAAACGAAGGCAAATTAAAAAATAAATTTGAAATGTAAACATATTGTTAATTTTCTTCAAAGACTATGGGATTGATTTACTAAAACTGGAGAGTGCTAAATCCGGTGTGGCTCTGCCTAGATACCAATCAGCTTCCAGGTTTTATTGTCAAAGCTTAATTGAACAAGCTGTGGTTAGAAGCTGATTGGCTACCATGCATAGCTGCACCAGATTCACCAGTTTTAGTAAATCTCCCCCAAAGTGTATTTAAGCCCGAACAATGAACTGTTCTTATTATGTCCTTTTTGGATTAAAAATCTTTGTGTATTAGTGTTAGAATATAGCCGTCCTCCAAAATTCGAATTTCGAAAAGAGTACAAAAGAATAAAATAAAAAATAGAATGGAAAATAAAGGAATAGAATGAAATAGAAAAATAGAATAGAATAAAATAGAATATAGCAGTCTTCTGAAATTCGAGTTTTGAAAAGAATAGAATAGAAAAAACAGAATAGAATAGAGTAAAGCAGAACAGAATAGAATAGAAAATAAAAGAATAGAATAAAATGGAATAGAAAATAATACAATAGATTACAATAGAAAATAATAGAGTAAAAAAAAAGAAATGAATAGAGAAGAATAGAAAATCAAAGAAAAGAGTAAAATTTAATACAAAATAAAGTAAAAGAATAGAACAGATTAGAAAAGAATAAAATAGAAAGGATATAGTTGAATTTTGAAATGAATAGAATAAAACAGAATAGAACAGAAAAGAATAGAATAAAATAGAAAGAAAATAACAAAACAGAATAGAAAGGAATAGCATAGGATAGAAAATAAAAGAAAACAAACAGAATACAAAAAAATAGAAAGAATATAACCATTTTCCAAAATTAGAATTTAAAAAAGCATAGAACCAGCTAAGAATTCAGATCAATTCGATATTTTCATTTGATTCAAATTCAATTCAAATACTTTAAATCCATTGGAAAAATGTAAATCCAGTTGAAATTGAATAAACGATCCATTTTATGTGGGGTGAGTTTTGCCAAACCCGCTCAGCAGGGTGGTGTGCTTGGAAATCATTTTAAAGTGTCGGCAATCATGACAGCTGAAATAAGTTTCATCCACACCCCTGCGTCTGTGTGCAGCCTCTGCAATCCAAAAAGACCGAACTCCAATCCCTAATCAGCTCATTGACTCACTAAGCGGTCAAGCTGGGATAAGGAAGGCCTTGCAGTAGATTGCAACTTTCAAACAAGCCATGATTGACATATTAAATTTTTTTTTAATCATCGGTTTCCGTTACTGGAAAAAAACACAATTTAAAAGAAGAAATTCAGAAAGCGCCGTTACATCTATTCTGAACCTTAAACTAAATCCTATTACAGTTCCAGAAACTCAAAGACCATCTCTGTCTCAAAACCACTTAAACAGGCCAAGCATGTGGCAATTCGATTAAACAACCCGATATTTCAATTGCATTTTTGGTCAAAATAGCAAAGCAATTGAAGACATAAAGAGGTGATTTTGGTCGAGATCAAGGAGAGGTGATTAAAACTGGACAGGAATTGCATTACTGCTAATCTTTGTGGTGTAATTTGTGTTCATTAACGCAAATTGCGTTAAGTATCATTTAAGGTATCGGTAGTATTTTCACAAGTACTCATGAAAACACTCAGGATCGGCACCGATACCAGTATTGGTATCAGTGCATCCCTACAATAAACTATATCAAAACACTTTTGAACAGTTCTTGAGAAGACCAGATACCACCAAATTAGTCTCTATTTACCACTCTTGCTAATATCTCCAGAAACAGATATCAACATATAAGAGGGCTTGTGATTGGCTGTGTGTGGCGCCAGACAGTGCAGCAAGTCTCTGCCCCCTTCTCCTTGCATAGGACAGCTACCCACCTGATGCTGAGGGGTATTATTATTATACAGTTTTTATTATTATTATACAGTATTTATATACTGTATAGTTTGTTCAGCGCTGTACAATAGCAAGGGGAACAGAACATGAGACAATACAGTAACAATACAATACACGAGGGGTTCGAGGGCCCTGCTCTTTCGAGCTTACAATCTAGGAGGACGGGGAAAGTGGTACAGGAGGAAGTGGCTGTAGGGGATGGAGTGGTGGGAGGAGTGGAGGAGGTCAGTTGTTAGGTGAGGGTGGGGTAGGCTTCCCTGAAGAGGTGGGTTTTCAGGGTACGCCTGAAGGTGAGGAGGGTAGGTGACAGTCTGATGAATTGGGGGGTAGGGAGTTCCAGAGGATGGGGAAGTCCTGGAGAAGTCCTGCAATCGGGCATGGGAGGAGGAGACCAGGGAGCTAGAGAGTAGGAGGTCCTGTGAGGAGCGAAGAGCACAGGTAGGGTGGTATTTGGGTATCAGGTCGGTTAGGTAGTTTGGGGCGGCGTTGTGAATGGCTATGTAGGTCAGAGTTAGCAGTTTGAATTTGATACGCTGGGCAATCTGGAGCCAGTGAAGGGATTGGCAGAGGGGGGTGGCAGATGTGAAGCGGTTGGTGAGGTGGTTGAGTCTCACTGCTGAGTTCAGG